GCCCGGCTTCGCCCGCACACGGGGGACCCGAGGGCTCCCGATCGATCGCCCACTGCAGGGGGAGCCGCGCCCCGCGCCCGGAGCCGGGAGCTCCTCGTTACTTATGCCCGGGCCGGGACCCCGCCGCGCCTGTGCCCCGCGCGGTCCGCACGGCTCTCCGGACTCGCTCCAGTGTGCTGCCCTCCCTGAGCGCCACCGCGCGTCCCCAGCGAGCCCGAGGGCGTCCAGCGCGCGGGTGTGGCCTGTGGCGCTGCCCCAACCCTCTGGGCCGGCGCACACCCGCAAAACACTGCCCCCCGGCAAGCCGCCTCACCCTGCTCTCCTCCCGGGTCCCCTTCGCTGGCCTCTCACCCCTGCACTTCCTCCTCGGTTTCGACACTCACACCCAGCTCCCTTCGTTCCCTCTGCCGGGGCTGTTGTTAATGGCCACCCGCTGCAGCACGCTGCTAGTTGTCCCGCCTCTCTTCGCGGGATTAAAAGTCCCAGGCAGCCACTTTCCTCCCTGCTTCCTTCGCCTCTCCGTCTCCAGCGCGGAGCCCAGTGCCTGGCACAAGGCGGTCACACAGTCACGGCGTCCCGAGGTGCTGTGTTGGGACAGTGGTCTGCGGTGATGGGGACCACACGGCCAGCCAGGGAAGAGCTCCTGGGGCTGCAGATCCCCGGCGTCCTCTGCTGGTCCTCACACGGAGGGGAGCAAACGCGCTGAGCAGGCCCTGTGTGAAGTCAGAGGTCCACAGGGAGGAACCCGAGCAAGTCCAGCTTCACGTGGCGCGGTTGCTTGAAAAAACATCGCCTATCCGGTCCTGTATTTCAAACAGAAGAATGCGTTTATGATACTGAGATTCACCCCATTTGGGGAACAGAGCGGCTATGAACTTAAACAACCCCAGAGCTTGAAGTAACTTAGCCGTCCTTGTAGCTGAAGTTCTACCAAGCAAAATGAGCCTGACCCTCACGCACATTCCAAGTGTTTAAAGATGCCTTTAGCGGTGTGATCACACACACACGTGGAATCCAAAACCCCTGATGTCCCCAAGGCTGAGGGCAGACAGGAGCTCTGGAGACCGGGGTGTAGGGGCAGTGGGCATGCGTCAGAGCCGCTGCGTGGCTGCAGGGGCAGCTCTGTGCCCCAGGCACAGTGGGGAGGACAGCTGGCAGCAGTGCAGTGCGACCTCAGCGTCCTCCCAGGGAGGATTTGCTCCTGAGGAGAAGCAGAACATAGTTCTAGGGGATGGACATGTTAATTACTCTGACTGGCTCCTTGCTGGTGTGTAGGAGAACTAAACATAGCATGCCATCGCATCCATGTAAATGTGTAAATATTGTGTCAATAAAAAAGTTAAAACGAAGCACTCCCTGATGCCCCCCTTTGTGCCTGTGTAGGAGAGGGGCTGGAGAGCGCTAGGCTTCACCAAAGGGGAAGACAGTTGTCTGACTGGGGACACTGCCGCCCGGAGACAGCGTCTAGGGGACACATCTGAGGTCCTCCAGGTCAGGGTGCCGCTGACACTCACAGGACCGGGTGTCCCGAGGAGTGGGGAGACAAGGGGTGAGTGAGGACGGCTGGCAGGAGAGAGGCACGCCGCAGCGGGGGGAGGGGGGAGTCACACAGCTGGACGGACAGACAGAGGCTGAGATGACCTGTGGGCAAGGACCTCTGTGGGGAGCTAGACGGGTGCTCACGCACAGGCGGTAACGTGCAGGGAATGCGTGTGTTTCCGGGAGATGAGGGTTGGCGTGCGAGTTCAGCGGGCTCGCTTTCCGGTGCTCTGACCCATCCCTGGACGTGCTCCACAGCACCCCAGCCCCGGGGCTGCAGGGCAGTACTGGGCCACACCGCACACCCAGATTGCGAGCCCAGAACCAACCTCCCCACTAACAGACGCAGTCCATTCTGTCCCAAAGACGCACCCACGGGTCACAGTAAACACTCACCCTTCAGCGTATGAGCCAGTCACGACTGAGCCATGACCACTGGGAAGGTCCTGTGGGACAGCTGGGGAGGTGTCCAAAGCCGGAGTTCGCCTGAGCTAGCTGCGGAGTCACAAGTGTGCCCCGGAGTGTGGCTGGCTGCTAGAATCCAAAGTCCAGAGGAGGAGAAAACTGAGGCCATTTAATGGTTCTGTGCCCTGCACCTTCATTGCAGTGAGCGGAAATCTGTGATCGCAGAAGGTCAGGAAGGACCAGCCGCTCAAGGCGAGGGCGTCACTTACTGGCGGTGAGCGAGTGGTCGCTCTCCCTGGACAGGGCGGAAGTGCAGCGCCCTGGCAACGCGCTCTTCAAGGATCTGTCGCACTCTTAGATAACTCTGTTGGGGCAGCCTGCACACAGGAGAGCGGGGAGGACTTCACAGTCCCCGGGGGATCTCTGAGTCGGAGCGGCCCTGGGCTGGATTCGGAGAGACATGTTCTTACGTCTTCAGGGTGCACTGGTCTAGAAAAAGTACACGGTGTTTCTGAGCAGGGTCGTGGTCCCTGGAGCGAGGCTGCGCCTGGTGTTTGCAGGAGAGAGAGGGACGCAGAGCCCTCCCGGGATGATCTGTCTTCTCCCTGGAGCATCCGGGCAGACAGAGGACGCTGGCTCATAGCAGGGGAGTAAAGCTGGAGGGAAAACAGCTCAGGGATGTTTTCCCTATTGTGTAATTATAGTTTCTTTGTAATGCATGCACGGAATCATTTTTGATCATGGCTATGAGAGTATTTATTTTGCATATTGTCAGACATTGCTTAGAGAGCACAATAAGTCTCTTCACACAAGGATTTATCGGGTGAATGGCGGCCCCATAACCTGAAATGTTTGCTCATTAGTCTTATTTTGGCACATACTGCTGTGGATTTTTTCTTTGCCTTTTTTTTTGGTGTGATCTGGGAATTGAACTCAGGACCTTGCACTTGTCAGGCAGGCCCTTGTGCCAATGAGCTATATCCCCGGCCCTGATTT